AATAAATATTATATTCGTGATTTTAATAAAACTAATTTACGTTAATAAATCATTTTTATACTCACAGACTATTTGAAAGATATTAGATAATTAATTATAAAGAAGTATTTAGAAATAAGTATTTATGAATAAGTATTTATGTTTATAATTTTAATAAATCATCTTTATACTCATAGACTATTTGAAGGGTATTAGATAATTAATCGTAAAGAAGTATTTAGAGATAAGTAGCTATAAATAAGTATTTATATTTATAATTTTAATAAAACTGATTAAATTATCTTTATACTCACCCACTATTTGAAGGATATTAGGTAACTAATTGTAAATAAGTATTTAGTGATAAGTATTTATGAATAAGTATTTATATTCATGATTTTAATTATACTAATTAACCATCTTAATACTCGCACAATATTTGAAGAGTATTAGGTAATTAATTATAAATAAGTATTTAGATATGAATAAGTATTTAGGTAATGAAAATGATTAACGTTAATAAGTCATCTTTATACTCACTAACTGAAATAATTTGAAGGTATTAGGTAATTAATTAATTATAAATAAGTATTTAGTGATAAATATATATGTTCATGATTTTAATGAAACTGATTAATGTTAATAAATCATCTTTATACTCACGGACTAAATTAATTTGAATAAAATGATTTGATAGGTATTAGGTAATTAATTAATTGTAAATAAGTATTTAGAGTTAGATATTTATGAATAAGTATTTATGTTCATGATTTTAATGAAACTGGTTAACGTTAATAAATCATCTTTATACTTACAAACTAAATTAATTTGAATGAAGGGTATTAGGTAATAAGCCATCAATAATACATAAAATACCTAATATTATTAAAAGCAAGATTAACATGACTCTGATGATATATTTATGGAAGGCAAGTAACAACTTAAGGAATAACAAATACGGAAGTGAAGATAAAATTATTTATTACTACAGTATTTAAAATTTTTTTATTTTATATTATTAAATTTATCTAATAAGATTATTAGACAATTGTTCAATTACTTACATAATTTTTTGGGATATTGTCTAATGTCTAATAGTATAAAAAATCATTTGGACATTTGAACTATATCCAAATATCTAATTAAATTTATTTGGACATTGTCTAATAACAACTCTGAATATACATGAAAAATGAGTACCTAATATGACTTCACTTCATTCAATAAATCATATGGCTACTATTTGTGTTAATTTATTAAAATATTATATTGATATGCTAATTCATATTGCTTACCAGGTGATAAATTTTTATAGAATTAGATAATTGAATAACTCTACTAAGTGGTTAGTTGTTTATTGAATATTAAATCATGGTTATATAGCGATAGTAAAATAAACTTCTATTTTTATTTATAATATTTTGGCAATTAACAAGAAAAGCAAGAGTGAAAATGGAAATATAATAATGTTTAAGAAAGTACTTGTGTTTGTGAAATATAAAAACTAATATATATATAACCAGCAAAGTACATATTCCCATCTTTTTTTACAGATTTGTTTTTTTTCCATTTGACAAGAACTTCTCCACGAAGAATTCGAGGCTTTCTAGATTTATTAGATAGTAGATTTGTATTAAGTAATAATAGCAGATCTAAATCATCTTTATTTGTTTTAGTATATTCTTGAGAATGTAAGGTTGGTTCTTGACATACAACATATGTTTGTTGATTTTGAGAGTAAACTTTACAGCCCTATCTTTCAGAATTCAAAATATTTGTTAAGGTTTGGTATGCTGATACTTCATGAAATTTACATTTATAAGTTCCTGTACATTTGGAATAATGATGAATATGTCCTAAAAATATTGTATAAAAAAGACCTTCTAGATAAGGAATATATAAGGTTTGTTTTCTCATTAATTTAAAATTTAATGGCAATTTGCGGTGAATAATTGATATAATTATATTTTTAAATTCAGTTATAATTTTATTTAGTAGTTTATCAAAATTAAGACAATGCATATTAAATTTTTTAACTATTGTATTGTGATAAGAGAGTCTTTTTTTTGATTTAAATTCCTTATCGCAAATAGGACAAATTACTGAAGTTGACTCTGCTAAATAAAAAATTAAAATGATTTTTTTATAATTTTGAAAAAAATTTTTTAATAAAATTTATTTTATTTTTTAATACTTACTGGTCGCCATTTTATTATTGAGATTAAGTAATGAGTTAAACGCGTATATTTTTACTATTTAACTGTAGTATTTAAATAGTGTATAACTTAGTAGTATAGTAACATAAATAATTTAGAGTTTAGTTATCGTTATTCTTAGATTAGCTTAAATTAGCAAATACGATTAAACATATTTATTCATGAGTCTGTAAAAAAATTAAGAATAATTATATGAATATTGATATATTTAATTTAAAATTTAAAATTTAAAAATTTAACATGTAAATAAATTTCTTATTATTAATGAAGCTTTACTTTTTATTTATTCATTTTAAAATAGTACTATTTACAACTCAGTTTCTGATGGTTTTTCCTATACTGGAAAGTAGCTAATATAATTAATGAAAAAAATATTACTCGTATATATTTAACTATCTGCTACTTAACCAAAACCACATTATACCCACTTACCTAGTAATTTAAATCTTTTCTAACTCTAATTTAAGTATTTATCTTTAATCTCATTTTAATAACAAGACTATTGTTATATATTTCATTTGCATTTCTATACTTGCTGATTTTATATACTATTCGATGTTTTCTTTTCATTCTTCTTAACTATAATACACTTTTAATATTAATTATATAAGTACTGCGATGTGTAATTATAAATAATTAATAATCATTATACTTACTAAGGGAAGTCACAGATATTACATAATATCCTGAGGGGGATCAAAAATATCTCTACTATTCAAATTATATTATGTAATACCTGTAACTCCCCTAACATTTTGATCCTAATTCTATTAAAATTACTTACTTTTGATTTATCAGTGAATGATCTTTAGAAAGATAATTCACTAATTTTTGACATTGATACAAATGATCTAGTTCTATCTGAAGATCTTAAATTGCCAAAATTATTCTACTATTCTCTACGTAACTAATACTTGTGCTAATATTCTATCTTCCTCCTTATCAATTATTACATCTATTTGATCACTTCCCTATCTACTTTTTGTGCTATAATTTTAGCATATTTGACCAGAAATTCTGCTAAATATTTAAATGCTACCTAATCTCGTTTTGCAATGGTTGCAGTATTTCTATTACTGTTTTATGCGTTTTTGTTTGATACTACCTACTAGTTGTTAAGAACGTTTGAATCTTAGAGATTTTCTCTTGTATAAAATCTTCTAGTGTTGCATTCACGAACTTTTCTTTGCTATTAACTAATACTTTGTCTAAAACAATTTTGCTATGATGGCGTTCTA